CCTGTTTTTTGCTCCTGCCATATTGTAACTTCCCAATTTGGTACCTTTACTCTTGCTGGTCACCTCTGCCTTCAATTCCCTTCTCCTGCACCATCTGACAACCTCCTGCCTACTCTTCAAGCCCCGTTTAAATTTCGGCCTTTAAAAAAAAAAACACCCTGGTCTTTATTGAACAGGCTAAACATTCACTCATAATTTTACTTAATTATCAGACAACTCCTTTACTAAGCCGTAAGCTCCTAAAAGCCAGTTCCATAATTTTTTGGTAATTAGTAGTGTCTAACTAAGCAAATGCTGGGGCATAGTAAGGGACCAGTAAAGTGGACAATGGACCTGCAGCTCCGCCTGCCTGGGAGCTTGTAGCAATGCAGACACTTTAAGCCCCATTCCAGAGCCCAATATACGCGAAACACCTGGGAAACTTGTTAAAGATGCTTATCATGCCAAGGTCTCAGATTCTGAGTCCTAAGTCTGGCTTGACAAGCACCACTCCTGATACTATTGAAGACGGTCTCCACACCCTATGTTGAGAACACGGCTCTGGAGCTCATCACAGAGCCAGTGCCTTACTTGTCCTTAGCTAAGAAGCTCCCGCCGGAAAAGATGCGACTAATAAACGCGTACAAACGGGCGGAACACAGCGGCAAGGGAGTACAAGAGCTCTCGGGGAAGGATGGCGTCAGAAGGCATGCATGTCTTGACCTTTGATCCAAAACAAAAACGTCTGCAAGTGAGCAGTGTCAAGCTCGGGTAAAGTGTGGGCACCTGGCCAGTGACATCGTAGAAAAGGCAAACGAAGAGTCGAGAACGTGCTCCGACGCCTCTCCCTGGCCGTGCCCTTACCGCGCAGCAAGTGCTCGATCTCCCGCAGCTCCCCCTCCTTCTCACTCAGCAGCTTGGCCGCCGACGCCAACTGGGGCCTGCTGACCAGGGCTCCAGACCCCGCCTGGCGCTCGAGGAAAGTCCGCAAGGACCCGTCCCGGGCGAAGAGCTCCTCCAGCGGCGGGGTATCGCAGCTTAGGGGCCGGCGGGCCGGACCAGTAGCTCCGAGGGCCCAGAGACACCGAGCAGCGCCCCAAAGAAGTCGGGACCGCATCGCTAAAGTCCAGCGCCCAAAACTTGAGCAGAACCGGAAGTTCTGGGCAGAGCAGGTCACGTGATACTACACAGCAGGAAATAGGGTCGAGAACTGACTACGCCCCGCCCAGTGTACACCTCAGTTGTGCCCGGCCTCCCGGAAACCCTGGCGGGCACTTCCGCCCGAGCGTAGGAACGCGGTGAAATTCATGTGACCAAAAGCTGGGGAGCAGAGCGGAGAGCTGTGAGGGAGAGGAAGAGGTGGAGTTTCAGCTGGTCTGCAGGGCGGTCCCCGAGACCTCGGGCATCTCCTCTAATTCCCTCTTAGCTCGTGCCCCGGAGGCGTGTTGGTCCGGAAGTGTAAGGTTGCGAGGTGCCAGTCTATTCTGACGGCGAGGATTTGTTGCCCAGTGTCTATGGGGGAAAGGAGGCTTCCAGAGCCGCAGCAGAGAGCAGGGCCGAGTCCGCCGCCGGAGATGGGACCACAGCCACGGAAGTCTGTCCCCAGGACCAGCCTGGCCATTGGTCTCCAAAAGCGAATTTTGAGATGGTCATCTGTGTGTGTGTGTGTGTGTGTGTGTGTTCACTCTTGCTTTATTCTTGCTCATGTTTCTGTTTTCGACGATGAATCAGGTTCGTGTGAATGAGGACATGACAAGCGTGCTCTAAGATAACCACCAAATGAATTTGGAAAATCTAACCTGTCCTTCATATGCTACTCAATTTACTTGCTTTCAGACGACTTTCTTCCTCACCTGTTTTTCATTCCTGCTTACTCCTAGTCAGAGATTCCTGGCCAGCTACTTTTTATTATCTATCTATCTATCTATTTGGAGTCAGACTCTGTCGCCCAGACTGGAGTGCAGTGACCGCTCTTCCTCACCTGTTTTTCATTCCTGCTTACTCCTAGTCAGAGATTCCTGGCCAGCTACT